GGACGGGCAGGTGGGGTGTTCAGGGCCCAGCTGCTGACACCTGATCCCGCCCTGGCCAGGTGGGAGGACGGAGATTGGCGGCTGGCCCCTGAGATGCCCAAGATAACCAGTCAAGGAGATAACCAGAGTCAATCCCAGTCGAGCTGGGTGATAGGCTGAGATAACGCACCGAGCTGCTGAGGCAGATCCTGTCTGGAGACACTCGGGCACCTTGATCGCAGGCAGGCCTGGCCTGGCGGGGGGCGGGGGCGAGTGGGCACCAACCTCGGCGTTTCCGTGGCTTGGAGCTTCCATGCCCTTCGGCTTGCTCTGCTGTTATTTTGTTTTTGGGTCACACCTGGACGTGCTCCAGGGTCACTCCTGGCTCTGCACTCAGGACTTACTCCTGGAGGTGCTCGGGGGTCCCTATGGGATGCCGGGATTGAACCCGGGTCAGTTGTGTGCAAGGCAAATGCCCTCCCCGCTGTACTAGACTTCTGGCCCCAAGGCCCAAAACTTAAAGAAAAAATCCTTGCTGGGTTTTCCCCGTCCCTGGTGCCCTGTCAGCCTCCTGGGTCTGCACACGGCTTGTGCGACTGACTCGAGTGGCCAGTGACAAGGGCGCCCGCGTGTCCTCCTGCTCCCCAGGGCTGCTCTCTGCCTGGTGCTCCCGGCCCTGCAGCCCTCAACTCCTGCCCTGTGTTCACTCCTCCTTTCTGTGGTGTCCCCCTCCTCTCTCGGTGGCCCTCCCCCTGGGGTCACCCCCCTTCCTGCGTGGTGCTGGGACAGCAGAGCTGCCGGGTTTGTGCCGGCTTTGTGCCAGGTGCACGGTTGACCCCGGGGGCTTGGATTCAGGACCTCCTGCTTGTGAGTCAGTGCTCAAAACCCCCTCTCGTACATTCCTCCCCTCCAAGCTGAAGGAACGGACTTGACCCACGTTCAGGCTCACACTTCTGCTTCCTGCCGAATCACTGCCGGCCGCTAGCAGGCCAGGACCCGTGTGCCACGCCTGTGTGAAGCAGGGACGTTCCAGGGCGTGAGCCTGCTAGCGTATTTTTCATGGACACACGTGGTCCCATCACAGGATTTAGGGTCAGGGTCCAAACACAGGAGCATGGGGGTGGGGGGGTGGGGGCTTGTTCAGGCCGGAGACTCTACTAGGCTCACACACAGCATTGAGTGCTCAAGTCTCAGGGAGACAGTGAGGCTCAAACACATTTTCTTTTGCGCTGTTTTTTTCTCTCTCTTTTTTTTTTTGGCTTTTTGGGTCACACTCAGTGATGCTCAGTGTTGCCTACTGACCAAGTAAAAGAATGCTTGATTTTTCATTCCCCCTTTGTCCTGCTCAAAGCTGGGCAACTTCCCAGTACAGGAGGTTTCAGTTTGGGGAAAATGCACCCTCGTAAATGATTTGTAAATGATGTATGAGGAACAGCACAATCTTTGCAGATATGTCAAAGCTATATCAAAGCAGGTCGTTCTGACCAATAGCATTATGCCGAAAGGGTCACCAGGTGGCTGACCAACAGTGCATGGCTCTGCTCATTGTCCCATCCACTTTCCCACGTCCCATCCCCTTTCCTTCTTTTGGGTGGGCTGTGGAAACATACTTAAGTCTGTACTTATGCTCTGAATAAACGCACGCATTCATGCCATCTCCTGAGTGACGAAACCTGTGTGACTCGAGTGCTGATTTCACCCTGACGGCCCTCCCCTGGCTCTGCCCCGCAGCGCCGGACGTGGCACTCAGGAATTACTCCTGGCAGTGCTCAGGACTGGTGATCGAATCTTGGTCAGCCGTGAGCAAGGCAAACCCCTCCCCACTGTGCTCTCACTCCAGCCCCTCCTTTTGCATCTTTTTGTGTTTTTTCAGAATTGATTGATTTCCAAGTAGCGTTTGCTGGCCCTGGCGTTCTCTGCAGAGTCCCTTTGTTGCACACTGTGTTTCGTGGGCACCTTGACATGAAGACTTGGCGCTTGCCTGGTGCATGGCTGACCCCATAGGTCCCCTGAGCACCGCCAGGAGTGATTCCCGAGTGCAGACCCAGGAGTAACCCTGAGCACTGCCGAGTGTCCCAAAAAACAAAAGGAAAGAAAGAAAATAGGTATCCTTGCCTGGAAGGGTAGCCCAGGGCCAAGGAGCCTGCCTTGCCTGTGGCTGACCCCACCCCACCCTGTACGTCACTCCCCACCCAGGTCCTGCCAGGATGAGCTCCCTTGACTGGATCAGAGTCAGCCCTGAGCACCGTCAGATGTCCCGTCCTCAGCCCCCAGGTTAGGTCACTCCGCCCTCCCCACCTCCCCCCCACTCCCCAGTTCCCGCTCACTTATCCTCGAGGGGACCCGCACTTATTCAGCTTGTGCTCCCATCCGGAGCAGGCCAGGCCATACTCCTCTGTACAGCTCTCAGGCCTTAGTGGGCTGGGCCACTCCCTGGCCATGGTGCGGCCGGTGTTGCTCACAGCACTGGGGACACAGAGAGCAGGGCTGTCAGGGTCGAGCTCAGGGCCTCTGCCCTGTCGCTCTGCCCCCCCGCCAGCACCACCCCCCCCCCCCCCCCCCCGGCTCACAGATTTCCTGGCCCGGCTCCTGAGGAGTGCCTTGGGCAGGGTCACTGGGTCCAGGTCCCACTCGGGGGATGCTGAATGACCTCAGTTGGAGATCTGTAACTGACAAACATTTGTCAAAAGTTTTCTGAAACCACTTTCACAGGGCCCGGGGATCCAGAACTGGGCCCCGCAGGGACCAGAGGCTCGTTGGCCATGTAGTGCTGACGTCTGCAAGGGCAGCCCTCCGGAGCCTCAGCCAGACACTGACATCACGAAGGGTGGCGCCTGCCCCTTTAAGAATGGCCCATGATGCCCTCCTCCTTGCTGAATTCTACTTCTACCTCAGAACATTCTAGACTCCAACTGCCATTTTCAGTCTCTCCACGAGACTGGCACGAGCCTGTTTGGCAGAGCTCAGTACTGAAGCTGCGAGTGCAGTGTGACACAGGTGAATCTGAGTCTCTGGGCTTTCTGCCCGCGTGGGGGCGGCTTTTTTCTCTAACAGTTCTTTAGTGTATGATAGTTTTTAATGTTTAGTTAGTTTAAGTTTTTTTACTAGTTATATATATATATTTTTGGGTGGGGTGGGGGCGGGGTGGGGTGGGGTGGCCATACCTGGCTGTGCCCAGGGGTGACCCTGGCCGGCTAACGTCCCTGTGCTGACGGAGATCGAGCCCAGGACAACTGGATATAAGGCAAGTGCCCTCCCCACTGTCCTGCCTCTCTGCCCCTTGCGGACTTCTCTATTGAAATATGGAATGACTCTGAAGTCAGTGGGCCCTCATGGGGGGCTGATGAGAAGTAGAGGAGAATATATCACTCCCCCGAGACTGGCTGGAGCGCTGGCACTGCTGAGTGCGATGAGCCCCGCCAGCCCCACGACGCCCACTAGGCCTTCCCGGGGTCTTGGGCCGGAGTGAGGGGTTGCCCTTTTCAGGGAAAGGGAGTCGATCCTCGACCTCCTCATGCCCCCGGGTCTTTGTCCTCCTCGCAGAAAAGCATTTCAGGAGATGAGCATGAAGCAGAAACATTTTATTTGGAGGCCTTTAGGAAGGGGAAGGAGGGAGGGAGTAACACGCTCGAGAGAGAGTGCGGCTTCTCCAGAGGTGCGGAAAGCCACTGAACATGTTATGTTGCTAGGTTGCATTCGGTCTGAAAGTCCACACCTCAGGAGGGGAGAAGCCCGTGACATGATGGACCTCATAGGCAAGAGCAGTACCTGGGCTCGGGCACACATGAGCGCCCTCCCTTGGTTCAAGGTGGCTTATCTAGGGATTTCCCCAGGCTGCCCCTGGTGGGAGTTTCTAGCTACCTAGAGTCCGTTGCTAGGGTGGTTGCCAACGGGGTAGAGTTGAGTGGTCCATGGTCCTCTTAGAAATTCCTTTCCTGCCCTTTCTTCCTATTCCCTCAGGGGGTCCAGCCTGCTCTGGGCCTCATAATGTGGGTTAATTTTGACAAGATCTTGGGTCCCGTGCACTCAGGTAGTCTTTTGGTGGCCATGAAGCTTTTGTTGACTTTCTCGGCGTTCCATCGCCATGGGGACGCTTTCCCCATCTACCTGTCTGCCTCAGTTCTGTGGGTTAAGAAATGGAGTTAATACTGGCTTGTGGTTATCCAACCTGGGCAGCGTCACAAGGAATGAAGGAAATGCCGAAAACTCCTTCGTTCCCCTTTGGCACAATTTTTTTTTTCTTTTTGGTTCACACCTGGTGATGCACAGTGTTTACTCCTGGGTCTGGATTCCGGAATCAGTCCTGGCAGTGCTTAGAGGACCATATGGGATGCTGGGAATCGAACCTGGGTCGGTCGCGTGCACGGCAAATGCCCTTCCCACTGTGCTATCGCTCTCCAGCCCCCCATGGCGCAGTCTTGCTGGGCCCTTTTCCCTTGCAGTTCTCAGCCCATAGAAAAAAGTGTGCCTGTTGCTTGCCTTAGCTTCTACGTGTAACCCCGGGCCTCTCACACATGTACATACGCACACACGCACACACAAGACCAGCCATCACTGCTGCGTCGCCTGCCGGCTCGTCAGTGTCTGGACGGGGAGGTGGTCAGTGACAGTCGCGGTGCTCAGGGATGATTTCTGGCTCCTGAATGTGTTTGGTGGTGGGAGTGATGGCAGGGAGGGCGCAAGGGTCAGCTGCCCGCAGGGCTAGTACCTGTCCCCTCTGCTCTCTGGCCCCGAATCGGCAGTTGTTTGTTTGTCTGTTTTGGATTGAGTTTTTGCGCAGGAATGACACTTGGTGGGCTCAGGGGGCTGTGCGGGAGACTGGGGGTCGCACTCGGGGTGGCGAGTGCCAGACTGGCAGCTCTCTGGGCTCCGGAAGCTGCTGTGGTCGCTCGCCTGAGACAGACTCTCTCCTCTGCTCTTCAGAGATTTAGTCCTGAGAACGAGTGTGCCTCAGAAGGCCCCACAGTGGGCTCGATGGTCGGGGCCTGGTAGTGGCCGCGGCAGCATCTGACCGCCTGACCATGAGTCTGCTGAGGCCCAGCGGGCTGAAGGCCCCCACCAAGATCCTCAAGCATGGGAGCTGGGCCCTGAAGGCACCCTCGGCCGGTAAGTGCGCTCAGCCCAGGCCAACGGAGACTCATTCCCACCCGGGAACCCCATCCCGAGTCCTCGCCCAGGAAGGGCTCCCTGAGCTGTAGACACGTCCGTGGCTCTGGGGACAGCTCTCACACACGAGTGTCACGTTCTGTGAGTTTAGTGTCACGGCAACCGGTGACAGCTGAGGCGACCAACCCGCTCCCTTCTAACTGCTAGCTCCCTTGCCCGGGCTTGGGGACAGGCTTAGGGAGGTGGACTCACCTGGACTAGAGGGCCTCATTGCCGGCCAAAGCCACAGTACAGTGGGGAGGGCAACTGGCACCCCATGTGACTCTCCACCCTCAACCTCACCATGAGTAACCCTGAACGGAGAACCAGAAATAGGCCCTGAGCATTGGCTGTGTTGCTCCCCGCCCAAAAGAAAAAGAAGATGGGCCAGTGGACACAGCAGAAATAAGACACTGGGTTCGAGCTTTCACCTGGCTTGGTCCGTAGTATCACGGGGTGTATCCAAAGATTTCCCCTGAGCTGCCCAAAGTATGACTGCGGCCTGGGATGCTGCGGTAGGTGAGCACGTCCGCTTCACGGCTGGCCCGGCCAGGCTTCGCCACAAGCAGCCCCCGTCATTGGCTGGGAGTAGCCACGAGCACTGCTGGGTGTCCCTCTCCCCCAACCACACTTTAACTGGACCTGCACAGGCCCTTCCTGTCCCTTCTGACCCTTTTGACCGTCTCTGCTGTTCCAGCGGCTGCTCCCGTTGAGAAGACCGTGCCTGGGGAGAAAACCCCCAGCGCCCCCTCCTCGGAGATGCAGGAGGAGTTTGTGGGCGACTTCCAGGTCGGGGAACGAGTCTGGGTGAACGGGAACAAGCCTGGATTCATCCAGTTCCTCGGGGAGACTCAGTTTGCCCCTGGTCAGTGGGCCGGGATCGTCTTGGACGAGCCCATCGGCAAGAACGACGGCTCGGTGGCGGGTGTGCGCTACTTCCAGTGCGAGCCGCTGAAGGGCATCTTCACCCGGCCGTCCAAGCTGAGTAGGAGCTTGCAGGCCGACGATGAGACCAACTGCCAGCAGCCAGCGCCTGCCGCCTGTGCCACACCGCCCCTGTCGGCCTCCCCGGCCCTTGCCGGCACCGCGAAGGTGCCCCAGTCCCCCGCGAAGGAGGCACCGGCCACCCCTCACATCAGCAGCCTGACCAGGACGACCAGCGAGTCCATCTCCAACCTCTCTGAGGCTGGCTCCCTCAAGAAAGGGGAGCGGGAGCTGAAGCTCGGGGACCAGGTGTTGGTGAGTGCCGAGGGCAGCGGTCGCGGGTGGCTGTCCATTCGCCTGTCTGGTTCATCAGCTCCTCCAGACTCGCGGTTTGGGTGGAAGCACGAGCAGCCGGGACGCCTGGTCCTGCAGTTTCCAGCGTGATGGATGCGTGCGGGGATGCTGCCAGTTTTACCAGTTTAGCCAAAACAGGGTGGAGGGGTCATGCCGTGGGGAGGGGTCATGCTTTGCACGCCTCTGACCCGGGGTTTAAGTCTTGGTCCCATGTACAGTCCCCCAAGCACATCCCGGAGTGATCCGTGAGCACCAAACCAAGAGTAAGCCCTGAGCACTCTGAATGTGACTCAAAAACAAACCAATGAACAAAGTTGGAAATCGGTTCTATTTCTCTGGTTTTCGATGGTTTTGCTTGGGGCGTCACAGGGTGGTCGCACACAAAGCACCCTTCCCCCGGTGCTCCAGCCCTGTTTGTCAGCATTCCTGTCAGTGTCCAGCGCTGTGATTCTGTTTTGCTCTGTGTCCCGGGAGCCAAGCGTCAAGCCAAGGCATAGTGAAGGAGAACTGGAAGATCGAACTCTGCTAAGATACGAGAACAGTCATTTTCCTTTAGCTGGTTTCTGGCTTAATTGTTCTCCAGCGGTGGGGTTGCCAGTGCTCCGCTCCCACACCCACGGGGCAGCGACCCCCTCGCCACACCAGGTGGCTGGCCTGGGTCAGAGATTCCCGGGGGTGTGGTCAGCCAGGCCACCGGTGACAGCGAGTGGGTGTGAATGCCGCTGCCTTGCATGGACACTGAGCAGCAGCGTCTGCTCACCCTGTAGGGGTTGCGGGGGGAAATGGCACTTTGACCTTTGGGGTTTCTTCAGGAAATCCCGACTCTGAAGCCAGAATGTTCGTTTGCGGGGGTGGGGGCGCTGTGCGCAGTCCAGGGTGCCTGACCCACGTCCCTCCATCCCTCCTGCAGGTGGGAGGCATGGAGGCCGGTGTGGTGCGCTTCCTCGGGGAGACGGACTTCGCCAAGGGGGATTGGTGCGGCGTAGAGCTGGACAAGCCACTGGGCAAGAACGATGGTGCCGTGGCCGGAACGAGGTGGGTCCCCCTGCCCCCCCAGACAGCCTGGGTCCATGCACGGTGCCCGGGAGGCGCTGAGGGGACTGCAGGCCACTTCACTTGGTTCTTAGGCGGGGCCACTTCCGGTGGCACTCGGGGACCCTGCAGGGATGTGGGTACAGCCTGGGGCCCCCATATGCAGCTGTGCTCGGGCCGCAGGAACCCTCCGGGCCTGCTGTGGCCCTTCAGATGCCGGGGAGCCTGCTTGGAATCGCCCTTGGTTTGCGTGGTGGGGGTGGGCGGCATGCGAGCGAGTGTGGGTGTGAATGTATGAGGGAGTGTGTATGTGAGCGTGTGAGTGTGGGGCTGTGAGAGTGTTGGTGGGGGCGTGGGCATGAGAGTGTTGGTGGGGGTGTGAGCGTGTTTGTGGGGGAATGAGAGCGTGTCAGTGTTGGTTTGAGAGCGTGCAAGTGTTGGTTGGGGTGTGCGTGTGTGTTACTGTGGGGCTGTGGGTGTGTGGAAGTGTTGGTTGGGGTGTGAGTGTGTGTGGGTGTGGGAGTGTCGGTGGGGTGCGAGTGTGAGTGTGTGTTGGTTTGGGTGTGAGTATGTGTGTTTCTGGGGAGTGAGTGTGTGTGAGTGTGGGGCTGTGGACATGTGGGAGTGTCTGTTGGGGTGTGAGTGTGTGTGTTTGATGGGGTGGGAGTGTGAGAGTATGGGAGTGTTGGTTGGGGTGTGAGTGTGTTTGTTGGGCTGTGAGAGTGTGGAAGTGTGGGAGTGTTGGTTGGGGTGTGAGTGTAAGTGTGTGTTGGTTGTGGTGTTTATGTGTGGCAGTGTTTGTTGGGGTGTGTGTGTGTTTGTTAGGTTGTGAGTGTGTGTGAGTGTGGGCTGGTGGAGGGTATGATGTTTGTTGGGGAGTGAGTGTGAGTGTGGCGCTGTGGAAATGTGGGAGTGTTGGTTGGGGTGTGAGTGTGAGTGTGTTTGTTGGGGTGGGAGTGTGAGAGTGTGGGAGTGTTGTTTGGGGTGCGTGTGTGTGTTTGTTGGGGTGTGAGTGTGTGGGCATGTGGGGCTGTGGGAGCGTGTTCGTTTGTGGGGGTGTGAGACTGTGGGACTCAGTGGACTTCTGGGTCGGCGATTGTGTCTCTTGCCGAAGGTGTTTTTGTCCCCCCCTCCTCGTTGTCCGCAGGTACTTCCAGTGTCAGCCCAAGTATGGCTTGTTTGCTCCCATTCACAAAGTCACCAAGATCGGCTTCCCGTCCACGACGCCGGCCAAGGGCAAGGTGGCCGCCGTGAGGCGTGTGATGGCCACCACCCCCACCAGGCTGAAGCGCAGCCCTTCGGCCTCCTCGCTCAGCTCCGTCAGCTCCGGGGCCTCATTCGAGAGCAGCAGACCCGGCCGCACGGGACTAGTAAGCAGCTCCCCACCACTGCGGGGTGCTGGGCCCCCACAGACTCCCACAGCCCCAGGGGCGAGAGGCGGAGCAGGAGCACGTGGGCTGAGCAGCTCCGGGTGGCAGGCGAGTGGCTTCTCAGCCACCACCGGTGACAGGAGCAGGGATGGGCCTTTCCTGGGGTGCTCAGGGCTCCTCTCTGGCCTCAGGCCACCTTAGGGATGAAGTGGGGTAGCTGAAGGGGGCGCCTGAGGGTCAGAGCAGGGCCCAGAGACTCTGGGGAACGCTTGGCCCTTCATCTTGCTTCTTTGCTCTCTCCGTCTCTCCCTTCTCCCTCCTGTCCCTCTGCACCGCTGTCCACATGCAGAGTGGCCTCGACCTCTGTCCATTGCGGTGCCGCAATTCAAAGCTGGGGCCTCGTGGCTTCTCCCCTCACGTCTATCTGAGTCATAAACACTAAAGTGTGTCTGAATATGCAAGGGTGCCCTGAGATATTGTCCACAGGGAAACGGGCCCACGATGGAGAGGGTGTCCCGGGGGGCTGGCTTTGCTGGGGGCTGCACTTCCTGCCGCCGCCTCTGCTCCGTGCATTGACCCTCGATGCGGAAGAGGAGGGAGTGAGTGTGTGTGCAACGGAAGATACAAAACAGATGACATGGGAACGGGAGCCAGGAGGCCACGCGCCGTGGGCACAGGCCTGGGGCCAGTCCTGTCTTGCTCGACCACCACCAGGTTTCCCTGCCCCACCTGTATCCTCACGTCCGACTCCTCCTTCCCTTCGCCTCACCATTTAGGAGGAGAGCAGACTCAGAAGCCCCTCTCCTTCCCTCGCGAACCAGCCCATTTGTGGAATTTGGTTTTGTTTTTCTGCTTGACTGTGGGCCATACCTTACAGTGCTTCAAGGGGCCGTTTGCAGTGCTGGGGTTTGCCGGTGCCTCCCACCTCCAAGCAAGAGCCCTACGCCTGAGACGTATCTCCAGCCTCCCCCCGCTGTCTTGTTTTGTTCTGTTTTGGGGTCACACTTGGCAGAGCTCAGGGCTTTCTCCCACCTCTGTGCTCGGGATTATTCCTGGCGGGCCTCCGGGATTGAGCCTGGACAGCGCTGGGGCTTCGCTCTCCAGCTCTTTGCCCCCTGCCTTGCATATCTTTATGCAGGGTGGAGCTCACTCCTAAACTGAACATCACCGTTAGCGTCTATGACAGGAATATAGAAAGATTCTGTGTGACTTCACGGAAGTATACCTTGACAACATAATTCCATAAGTGCACACACAAGCGTTCATACACACAGTCACTCATACATGTACACCTAGTGCATACCGTATATACACAGGCTTATGGGTATACACACACAGGCACATACATGCATAAACACAATGCGTGCATGCACACAGGTGCGTGTAGATATGCCCACCGGAACATACATGCACGCATACATACATGCACACAGGTCCGTGCGCGCCCTGTGGAGGCCTCCCTGTTCGTCTGTTGGCTGAGTTGCTCTTCTGAGGTACCAGGCTCCCACAGAAGGCCTGGCCTTGCTGGGATGGAGCCTGGGGTGTCACAAACCACGCGCAGGGCAGAGGCTTTGGCATCAGCATCCTGAGTTCAGCTCGTGGCCCCGACCTTGCCCAGCCCCTCAGCACGCGCCTCCCCCCATGCTAGGGGTGCTGCTTTCTCCCTGCTCCGGCACCTGAACCTCACAGTCTCGTCTCCATAGTTGGCTGAAAGAAGCCCATCGCTCCTGTGCTGGTTTCCTCAGGGAGCTGTCTCGGGCCCAGTAAGCGCATGCGTCTGGCCTGCCCCACCCGCTCAGGCCAGGAGGCTCAGGGAACACCGCCGCCCGCCTTTCTTAGTTTTTATTTTTGCTCTTTGGGGTTCAACTGGCAGTGCTCAGGGACTCCAGGCGTGGTGCTTGGAGGCTGCTCCCGGTGGAGGGGGGTTGAGCCCGGGTCTTGGTGTTAGACCCCCAAGGCTGCCAAGCTCTTCCCAGCCACCCCTTGAAATCCGAGTTGACTGCAGTTCCCGGGAGCACTGCACATGGCTGGCCCGAGAGCTTGTGTGCTCCTAGAAATTTTAGTTATTATTTGGTTTTGGGGCCACACCCAGGGGTGCTCAGGGCTTATTCCTGGCTCTCTGCTTGGGGGGGTGGGATCACTCCTGATGGTGCTGCATCTTGAACCTCTGCAAGCACCTTCCCTGACCCCCCCAACAGACTCTTTGGCCCTGGGGAGGGCATTTAATCGGACCAGATATACTTTAAGTGTATCGGGAAATCACGGCCAGGTCCTTGCGCACAGGCAAGGATGATCCCGCTCTCCGGACAAAACCAGGTGGCTCGAGAGCTCCCAGCAGGCAAAGCAGCAGTGGACAGCCTGGGCCCTGCTGGGCCCTTCGGTCAGGAGGCGTTTGGCAGCAGCTCAGATGATGCGGGGAAGCGGCAAGAGAACCTGCGGCTGGACCGCAGCAGGGCGATGGAACAGGGATGGCTGGGCAGAAGGAGAGGAAGTCCTGGCCACCCCCGCCGCAGCCCCCGCCATCGTGTGCCCGAAGAATGAAGATCAGGTCCCGCCTTGTCCCCTCCTGCAGGGGTCATTGTGCAGAGAGGGATCTGGGTCTGCAGAGCGACCATGAGCGACCATGATCCCAGGATAGAACGGACAGGACCCCTGGTCCCCACAGCACTTCAGCCCACTCCCCTCCCCTCCTCACTGTCTTTGCCTCTTCTCTCATTCCCTTTGTGCTTGGTCTTTCCCTGAGCTGCCCTTGCTGTCCTGCTCGCTGGGCGTGAGCCCTCACACATTCTCACCCACCACTTTTTCCTTTTTTTTTCCTGGACTTTGCCATGCCCCAGCAATACTCAGGACTTACTCCGGACTCTGCACTCAGGAGTCACTCCGGGTGGGCTCGGGACCCTATGGGGTGGGTACCTGTTATCCAGCTCGGGTCAGCGGCGTGCAAGGCCAGCGCCTTTCCCGCAACTTTATCATTCTAGCCTCTCATCCCCCATTTTCGAAGGCAGATGGCACAAGGGTCTTTTATAGGGTCACACCCAGTGACCCGCGGGGGCACGGGGCCATCCCCAGAGACAAGAGTCTCTGGTTACTGCTATTCAGGCATGGGGCGGGTGCCCGGGAGAGCGAGGTGAGCTGGAAGGAAGAGGAAGAGAGAAGGGACAGGCTGCCCTGGGAGACCCTGACGGACCTGCAAGGCTGAAGATGCTGGAGCTGGCCTCAAGCTCAAGCCAAGGGCTCAGCCTTAAGGAAGCTCAGGCCAGAGCGGGCTGTGGAGGGGGCTGCCTCCGGCTCTGCAGAAGAGTCTCTGGATTCCCACGAGGCCCGAGGTCAGTGGAACCCAGGTCCCGTCCAAGGATCTTCGGGAAGGTTTCAAGACGTTTCTGCTGAGAGTCGCTGGCCCATATGCAAGGATGCAGCACTGCTCCATGTGCTTTGCCGAGGATCACCGCGAGCATGCCCGTGTCGGCCGGCCCCATCCCCTTCACGTCTCTTTTTCCTTTGCAGTTGCCGGAAACCTCCTCCTGCTACGCCCACAAGATCTCTGGCACCACCACCCTCCAGGAGGCGCTGAAGGAGAAGCAGCAGCACATTGAGAAGCTGCTGGCCGAGCGGGACCTAGAGCGGGCGGAGGTGGCCAAGGCCACGAGCCACATGGGGGAGATAGAGCAGGAGCTGGCCCTGGCCGGAACGGGCACGACCAGGTGACGTCTGTGCAGACGGCAGTGCCGGGGCCGAGAGACGCCTGCGGTAGAGGCTGGGCGCGAGCTTGGTGCAGGCGGTGCAGGCAGAGGCCGTGGGTCCCCATCTGCCGTCGTTGCGGTGGCGTCCAGCGCGTGGTTTGATCGCATGCGCCTTCTGCTCGCCCTCTGGGGGTTTAGGGAGTGCCGACTTGTCCGCGCTGGTGCTTTCGTGGTGCGGTTCCCCTCTGGCCTTCCAGAAACGCCGTAGCTTAGGTGGGAGATGCATTCAGCTTGCCGTGGTGACAGGTGGCGATGCCAGCCCACAGAGGGCTGTTGGGGGCGGGCAAGGCCACTCACGCGCCGTTGCCTCTACAGCACGTCCTGGAGCTGGAGGCCAAGAACGACGAGCTGCGGGCCATGCTGGAAGCGACCGACTGGGAGAAGGTGGAGCTGCTGAACCAGCTGGAGGAGGAGAAGAGGTGAGGCCTTGCCCGGAGCTGGGGGCTCCCTCGGGTGGGGCACTCCTGGCCTTCCAGGGCTGTGAGAACCAGAAACCAACGGGTGCCCAGTCCTGAGCGCGGCCTCACCGGGAGGGCTGGGGGGGGAGCTCAGTGGAGCCAAGCCACCCCCGGCCCTCCCTGCTGTGTCCACCTGGCCTGGTATTCAGGAGGCCTGTGCTGGGTGGCAAGGAACTGTCCTAACCCAGTGGGGCCCTGTGGGAGTCCCTGTGGTTAAGTCCCAGGCGGGAGGAAACCCACAGTACTCATGGGGCACGACAGCAGACAGACAGGGCTCAGGCTAGGCTGCAGACAGACGGACGTGGTGCTCAGGCCGGGGTGCAGACAGACAGACATGGGGCTCAGGCCAGGCTGCAGACAGACGGACGCGGGGCTGAGGCCTGGCTGCAGACAGATGGACACGGGGTGCTGGCCGAGACCGCCTTTTCAGATGGGCTCCCGGCAGTGTGGTGCCCAGGGGCACTGCCAGTGCCTGGCTCAGCCCCTCAGCTCCACGTGCCGACTCGACAGTCACTGGGAGCCCCTCCCCTCCCCGCCCCCGAGTCGTTGGCTGCTTCTCCCCCAGGGGCTCAGTTGTCCCATTGTGGGGACAGGTGCTGGCTGGGAGGGACTGGCAGGCGCCGCGGGTCAGTTTTTAACCACCTCTGTTAGCTGCGAGGCAGAAAGGGTTGATATGACACTGCACCTGGCGTTGGCTCGGCTTAGCTTCCTCCTGTAGCCTGCGGGTCCCACCCAGTGCTCGAAGGTGAGGGGACTCGCTGACATTCATTTTTTTCTTTTTGGGTCAACCCAGCGATGCTCAGGGGTTACTCCTGCCTCGGCACTCAGGAATTACTCCAGGCATTGCTCCGGGGTCCATAGTGGTATGCTGGGAATTGAACCCGGGTCGGCCACGTGCAAGACAAACGCCCTGCCTGCTGTACTCTCGCTCTGGCCCTCCCCGACTCTCTCAGCCCTCCTGTGTGTGGAGCCGGGGGCTGGGTCAGGCGCATCTACAAGATGGTGGCCCTCATGGGGGGCAGCAGTGACGCCCCTCACAACGTCTCCCTCTCCCTCACAGGAAAGTGGAAGACCTCCAGTTCCGAGTCGAGGAGGAGTCCATCACCAAAGGCGACTTGGAGGTAAAGCCCGGGCAGGTCCCGGAGGCTTGCAGGCTGCAGGCAAGGATGCGGGGCGGCCTGGCCGACCCCGCCGGGACCACTTCTGCTGGAGACTCCGAATCAGACAGGGATACCTGGGGTCATGCACCTGGCAGGGCCCGGCTGACACATCTCTGCTCCTTGGGGCTGGAGGCTGCTCTTGATGAGTGTTTTTCTCTCGTTCTGACAGTCGGGTCCATGCCTTTGCCTCAGCTTTGATTTTCAGTTGAGCAGCACAAATCAAATCCTTTAGAACCCCGTTTTTTGGAAGCTTTTCCTTAAAACAAGAAGAAGCAAAGAGTCAGTTTGGAAAAGACAAATTTCTATTTCTGCTTCTTTTCCTTCCTGTTTTAAGTTCATGGAAATTTTGTTTTCCCACCAGAAGGAGGTGAATTCCCTGCAGGCGGCCTCTGAGAAGCTCGCCAAGGAGAACGAGTGCCTGAGGACCAAGCTGGACCATGCCAACAAGGAGAATGCGGACGTGATCGCACTGAGGAAGTCCAAGCTGGAGACGGCCATCGCCCCGCACCAACAGGCCATGGGTGAGCCGAAGGCATCTGTGAGCCAGGGCGTGGGCGCCGAGGCGGCCGAGCTGGCCGAGCTCAAGATGCAGATCGAGAGGCTACAGTTCGAGTACCAGCAGGAGGTGGAGAGCCTGAAGGCCCAGCAGGCGGCTGAGCGTGCAGCGCACGCCTCCGAGCTGCAGACGCTCAGGTCGCGGCTGTTCAGGACGGCCCAGGAGCAGAAGAACAGCCTGGAGGCCGCACGGGCCAAGCTCGAGCAGATCGAGGACCAGCACCTGGTGGAGATGGAGGACGCCCTGAACAAGCTGCAGGAGGCGGAGATGAAGGTAAAGCACCTGGACGGGTTGCGGGCCGTGTGTAGTCAGCAAGCCCAGGCCCTGGCCAATGCCACGGCACAGCTGGAGGCCACCCAGCAGAAGCTCTTGCAGCTCGATGGGCTCTGGAAGGCCAGTTCCGAAGGTCAATTGGGAATGGAGAAGCTCAGGCAGCAGCTCCAGGTGGCTGAGCGGCAGACTCAGGAGTTAGAGAATGTAAAGCGGGCCGAGAGCTGCAGGTTGGTACTCGGGCGCCCTCGCCCACTTCCACGCTCGCTCCCTGCATGCTGTGTGTCAGTCTGCTCGCCGCCGTGTTCCGGCTTGGTGCTGACAGGTCTCCCGGTCACGTCCCGTGCGGTTCCCTCTGAGGGGACTGAGAAGGAGTCGGCATGATTCGGGGGTTGTCATTGGTCCCCAGCACCTGGATGCCGTGCTAGCCTTGGCCCCGGCTAATCGGGTCCGTCTGGGGTCTTTCTGAAACAGAGAATTCTTCACGAGGCCAGTGAGAAAACAAGATAGGAGCCCCCAGTGCAAACCTCTGCCCCCCACCTCTTGGGCTCGCTGCATACTCGCCGAGTTCGCCCAGACACTTGGGCTCGAGTCAGGCCGCGAGGGTTTTTCCCTGACCTTGCTGACCACCTGCTCGTGTGACGGGCTTTGCCCTCCTCTCCCCGAGGCGCCTCAGTTCCCAGCTGGTGCTCGATGCCTCTGAGCCTCTGAGCTCCCTCAAGGCTGGTGACGTGGCCCATCTTGGTATTTCTCATTGCCAGCCCCTCCCTCCCTGCAGCACAAGCCCCCGCGCAGTCCTGCAGAGATTTCATCCCTTTCAACCTCTAAGAGGTGCTTGGGCCAAGTCCGCCTTCCAGCATGGCCCCCTGCTGGCCACAGGCATGGACTCTCATGGTAGCCCTGACCCTGGGGAAGGACGAGACAGTGAGATCTGGGCCAAGCCGAGGAAGCTGCAGTTCTCACCAAGGAGCCCCGAGAGATGCCCTTTTCCTCCTATAGGATTGTGGTGGCAGGGACGTGCCCTCACCCCCCCCCCCCCGCTCCCCCCTGCGCTGGGCACTTTGTTGGAGAAACTTCTCTGTTGGCCAAGATGGAAGGGCTGTGGGTTTTGTAGACAGGACTGACAGACATAACAGAAGGGCCCCGAGACCCCCGGGAGTTCCTCTCAGGACTCAGGACTCCTTGGCTGGCATTCCAGAAACACTGGCTGAAACAAATGGAATCAATTCCTAGGACAGAGCAGGGGATAGCTGACCCACTTGTTCGCATCAAGATGTAACAAACGTCAATTCGGGTGACTGCTGTCTAGGGGATTAGAGGTTCCCCATTTTAAATTTCATATTGAACCCCCTCAAACTTTTAAAGTCACAGAAAAGAAACTACAAGAAAGTAAATCTTGGGGGCCGGAGTGATAGTACAGTGGGAAGGGCATTTGCCTTGCACGCGGCCCACGTGGGTTCCATCTCCATCATCCCATAGGGTCACTGTCATTGTCTCTACCCTCCCGTTGTTTATCGATTAGCTCGAGCGGACCCAGTAATGTCTCCATTGTGACACTTGTTACTGTGTTTGTCATATCGAATACATCACGGGGAGCTTGGCAGGCTTGCTGTGCAGGCGAGATACTCTCGGTGAGCTGGCCGGGTTACTGCCAAGGAGAATTTCCTGAGCATTTAGGGTGACCGAAAAAGCCAAAAGGAAAAAAAAAAGATAACCTTTTATTCCCTCCCTCCCCTCCCTTTCCCTTTCTTCCCTGTTTCCTCCCTCCCTCCTTCCTATCCTTAGCTTCCCTCCTCCCTTGCTTACTTCCTTCTTCCTCGCCAAGCCATGCTCTGGGCTCTGGGGTCCTCCCGCCCAGCAGTAGTGGGGCTTTTCAGCTTGGGGACCGATCTCAGTCTCGCCCAGTGGTGCTGCAGTTCCAACTCGGGCCTGGTGTGTACTCCAGCCCTTTGTGCCGTCTCCCCGCCCCTGGAAAGTCAGTCTTTCTCATAGGCTTTCTTATTTTCTGGTCACGCCAAAGTTAGGTCTAGAAAACGCCTCTGTTTGGGCCGTTTTCAATAACCACTAGACAGTCATCACCAGAAGTGCCGGCGCCAAGGCCTTGGCTTCGTGAGCTTCAGGCAATCACGCTCACCTCACGCCTCTGTTCTTCGGGGTTGTGTTGGGTCATGGGCTTCTCATACGTGTTTTCTGTTTTGTTTTCCCCTTCCCGTTCCTGTTTGTCTCCTTGGTCCATTCACTCTATCCTTGTGACTCTGGTAGTCCGATAGCCTGGCCGAAGAGCTGCAGGGGAAGGGGCTAGCGCTTCGTAGTCTTCAGGAGAACTTGAACGAAAGCGGCCGAGCTGAGGGGCCGTGTGTGTGCGCGTGTGTGTGCATGTGTGTTTGTGTGTGCATGCTGGTAAGCAGAGCAGAGGGGCCGTGTGTGTGCGTGTGTGTATGTTTGTGTGTTTGCGTTGTGTGTGTGTGTGTTCGTGTTTGTTCGTGTGTGTGCGTGTGTGCTGGGAGCGGGCAGGGGGCCGGCGGCTGACGGTGGCCCCCGGCTCCCCACAGGAGGAGAAGGTGGACGTGAGCCGCAGCCAGTGCCAGGCTCTACAGGCCGAGCACGCCAAGGCCAGCGTGGAGATCCAGGGGCAGCACGAGGAGGCGCCGCAGGCCCTGCAGCAGCTGCTGCTGCAGGCGAAGGAGAAGCTGCAGGCGGTGCAGGCGGAGAACGGGAGCCTGCTGCGGGAGGTGGCCGAGCTGAAGATGCAAGCCGACAAGGCCAAGGTGGGTGGGTGCAGGGCAGCGCCGCGGCTGATGGCGGCCATGGCCCGTGTGTGTGTTGGTGCCCGGCCGCTTTCCACCACGCACCGCAGCCAGGGCTACGTCTCCTCTCTGGACCACCTGCTGGCCCAGTTCTGTGGCCAGCAGCCTCGTGTGCATGCTCAGGTCAGTCCCTTTCCGGTAACATGGCCGTCAGCGGTCAGCTGCCCAGCACACACCAGTAGCCTGCTGCGGCTCATGGCTGCTGAACTGGACAGAGAAGATAGCCCTTGCTGTAGAAAGTTCTGGAAAGTACATGGCGGTTCAACTGTGGTGTGCATTGAGACTCAGAAATGAAAACGCACAACCCGTTGCTGACAGGCAGTGAGAGCAGGTGAGGGAGACCCTGACCCGTGTGCGGCCAGTCCTCCTGGAGCCCCTGGGCCCCTCCCAAATGACTGCTAACACTGCCCTCCCATTGCTCATCGATTGGCTCGAGTGGGCCCACTAATGTCTCCATTTTGAGACTTGTTACTGTGTTTGGCATATCGAATACTCTCGGTAGCTTGCCGGGCTCTCCGAGAGGGGCGGAGGAATCGAACTCGGGTCGGCCTTGTTGGCCACTTGTAAGGCGGGCTGGAGCGATAGCACAGCGGGTAGGGCGTTCGCCTTACAAGCGGCCAACATGGCCGACCCGAGTTCGATTCCTCCGCCCCTCTCGGAGAGCCCGGCAAGCTACCGAGAGTATTCGATATGCCAGACACAGTAACAACAAAGTCTCCAATGGAGACGTTACTGGGCCCGCTCGAGCAAATCGACGATCAACGGGAGGGCCTTTACAATTACTGTGTTTGGCAAGCAAAAACTGTTGGCTTCAGTCTCCAAAGCTTGGTGGATTCGTCTGGAGTTTCTATAAAGTGTATAACTTTTGGGACTAAGTCCATTTCCTGCCTCTGTTTGTCCCTGTGAAAATCGTTTGACAAGCAGTGGTTGCTTTTCCCTTCCCCTCCTGCACAAAGTTCCAAAACAAAATACTTTTTGTAGTTCTTTGAATTGTATTGAAAACTAGTTTTTGAATGCATCCCTTCTAGGACAGAGTGATGCATTTTATAATAGAAGAATTGAAGTGGGGGGAAAAATCTTATGCCCCAATGTCAAGATCCAACTGTACTTACACCTTCCGGGAAGCTGTCAGGAATCATTTCAGACGGCATTTCAAAAATCAACTCGGCTGATAGTAGAATGGGTAGGGTGCTGCCTTGTACTCGGCCAACCTGGGGTTGATCCCCAGCATCCCGTATGGTCCTCCGGCCCTGCCAGCAGTGATCCCTGAACACAGAACCCTGAGCGAGACCCGAACACCAGCAGGTGTGGGGCCCCCATCCACAAAATAGGCAGGTAGTTATGTTGACGCTAAGAAGCTAACTGTGTTTGAGCCTCTCCATCCTGAGTCTGTGTGTGTGTGTGTGTGTGTGAGTGTGTGCGCGTGCGCGTATACACGCGTGTGCAGGTAAGACTACTCTGCCATTTTCATTTCTGGTATTTAGGCCACATGAAGTGCTTGGCTTGCTTTTGCCTGCTTGATCTCATTCTTGTTTCCATTCTTCCCCGCTTTTTGTTTCTGCAGTCCTTAACTTGCTTATTAAGCTCGGCCAAAGAAGAGATGGAGCTGATGTCAGAGGATCGCAAGGCCCTGAGGTCAGAGAATGAATTGCTGGCAAAGGAGAAGCTCTGTCTGAAGTCCGAGAGAGGGTGGTTTCAATTGAAACTCAGAGAAGCGGAGGCCAAAAACTCTTCGCTGCGGGAAGAGCAGAGGAAGCTCTGGCTGTTGAACCAAGCGATTCGCTTGGATAAGGAGAAGGTCATCGAGGCCAGGTGGGCCTCGGAGAAGCTCTGCCAGCAGGAGCGGCTGGACCGAGAAGCCCTCGAGGCAGAGAAAGAGAAAGTGCTGGAAGAGGGCAGGGCGGTGCAGGAGGAGCTCCAGAGGGTGGGCGCGGAGAAGGACGCACTGCAGGTCGCCAAGCTGGGGCTGCAGGCCCTGGTGGAGGAGCTGCAGATGAGCAAGAGCAGCCTGGTGGCCGAGTGCAAGAAGGGCCTGGAGGAGAGGGGCCAGCTGGAGGAGCATGTCAAGAAGCTGGTTCTGGAGAACCTATCCCTGGCCAAGGAGAAGGACAATATCATCCAGAAGCTGCAGAGCTCCTACGAGGAGCTGGCTCGGGATCAGAAGTCGCTGGTGCAAGAGATCGAGGAGCTCACGGCTGAGAAGGAGGAGGCCGCCCGCGTGGAGTCGGCCCTGCGTGAGCAGCTGAACAGCCTTGGCTCTGAGAAGCAGCTGCTGGGCCAGAAGGCCACTAAGCTCCAGCGGCAGCTGCACTGGCTGCTGAAAGACCAGGCGCTGCTGGAGGCGCAGCAGACCGAGCTGCTGGCCGAGCGGGAGGCGTCCCTGCAGGCCCTGGCCTCCCTGGAGGACACCAGGAACACCAATGCGATGATGCAGAGTAAGGTGGGTGATGGTAGTGACCAGGGCTGTGTAGGCCCGGCCTCAGCCCTGAGAGAAACCATATCCTGGGCCATAGTGATAGCACAGCGGGGAGGGCGTTTGACTTACACACCGAATTCCCAGGTTCAATCCCCGGCATCCCATATGGTCCCCTGAGCACCGCCAGGAGTAATTCCTGAGTGAAGTTGTAGGTGAGCCAGTGCCCTCTGAACTCACAGCCCCACTTTCCCGGGCTCGAGTGACTGCTGACAGCCTGAGCTGTTCCACCCTAGCCAGGAGTGATCCCTGAGCACAGAGCTAGGGTTTAGTCCCTACCCCACCGGGTGTGGCCCCCAAACAAACCAAACTGATTACCCACAAAGGTTCTAGATAAGCATGTATACATACACAGACATGTATATATGCGTGTATGCTTCAAAAGAGTCGGGGAATATCTACCATTTAAAATATCCGAGAATGATGCCGGAGCAATAGCATAGCAGGTAGGGTGTTGGCCTTGCACATGGCCAACCCAGGTTCCATCCCCGGCATCCCATATGGTCCCCGAAGCACCGCCAGGAGTACTTCCTGGGTGCAGAGCCTGGAGTCACTCCTGAGCAACGCCGGATTGTGACCCAAAAAGCCCCTCCCCAAATTAATTGATTCATTAAAATAACAGAAGCCAAAAAGAGGGAAGCTGAGGAAGAAGGGGCTGTGCTCCCCTGGCGCCCGTGAGAACCAGGGGCCGCGCACATGCTGCCGGAACCCCACCCCCACATGCTCCCAGCACAAGAGGTGATGCTTAAGGAGTGAGAGGCCCCATGGACAAGGACACATCCCTTCAGTCAAGGGGTCATGTCCTTGCCAGAGCCCTCCAATGCCCTTCCTCTTGCTGCTCTCCCAGAACCTGGGCTTCGGGCTCCCATCACATTGGCAAATCTTCACTTTGCCAGAGTCGAACACCACTTTGGAGGGCTTCTTCCCTGCCAGGAAGGTTCAGTCGCAAACGGAAACGCCCACCAGCATGTGGCTTTTCCAGCCTCTTTGCGCATGCTCTAGGCCCAGAGCTGGGGGAGTCTGGTCCTCTGGGCTGCCTTCCTGCTTCTTGCTCCTGTCAAGGGAGAGAGCTGGGTGGGGTCCTCCGGGGTTTGCACACTTGGCTGCAGTCCGGTGCCCGCACCTACCATCACCAGGCTCGGGTCTGGCCTGCAGCAGGAGTCAGCCTTGGGGCCTCCTTGATGTCTCTCCTTCCCCAACACCCCTTCCATCCCACCCGGGTCTGCAGCGCTTTATCGTTTGAATCCTCTCCGAGGAAGGGGACCATCTGGGTCCCAGTGCCCTGAGGAGTTCCCGCACACCCTCACTTCCTGCACTTCTGTACTTAACAGCCGGTGGCCCTGGAGGGCACTTGTGGGCTGAAGTGAACTTTGCATGTGGGCTGTGCAGGTGGACCCTGTATGGGCTTGTTGGGAACTGAACATTTCCATGTTTTTTTTTTTTTTATTTTGTTTCAGCTGGAGGAAGAGAGATCTGTGTTTCTTGGCTGTAGCGTGGGATGGCCTGGGCACTCTCAGAGACTGGCCATCAGAACTTGCCCTGAGGGAGAAAAAGAATCAGTCTGTTTTTCTGGTTTTATTTACACTTTCTTTGGGGGCCACACCTGGCGATACTCCAGGCTTCCTCCTGGCTCTGCACTCATGAATCACTCCTGGCTGCTCTCCGGTGTCCCCCATAGGATGCCAGGGAACAAACCTGGGTTGGCTGCGTGCGAGGCAAGCACCTTTCCCGCTGTGCTATCACTCAGACCCAACGCGCCTGCCAGTTTTCAAGTGAAACATGAATGTTTGTGCCTACAGTCATGCTTGCTTTTGTAAAGTGGGATTTCCCCCCGCCCCATTCATTTGAAAGAAGTGAGTTTGTCTTTGTAGGAGAGGGAAGACCCCTCTTGACTCCCTGCTCTGAGAAGAACCGAGGGGTACCAGCATCTCCTCCTGGGGTCTTTCCTGGGCACCCGCGAGCTTGTGCTCAGGAAGGGAAAGGGGAGCTCTGGCTGCCTCCAACCCTGGGGCGGGGACTGGAAGCGGGGCCCAGCCTCCTCTGTGGCGGGCTCCCATGGCTCCCGCAGATGGCTCACCGTCTCACGCTCTCCTTGAACACAGATTGATTTCCTGAATTCCGTGATTGTGGACCTCCAAAGAAAGAATCAGGACCTCAACATGAAAGTGGAGATGATGTCCGAGGTGGCTCTCAAAGGGAACGGGGACGACCTCAACAATTACGACAACAACAACTTCGGCCCGGCCACCTCATTCTCTGCACTGTGCAGAAATCTCCAGCAGTTCCTGGATTAGATAGCAAGCTACTTGTGAAACACCTACAATAACCAATTTACTGTCTTTACAAAGTTTACTTTTTTTCCACTGTGGTTTTAGATGAATGTATGATGAGAAATTCAACATTAATAATTTTGGATTTTCTTATCAGAAAAAATTAAATGAAGGACCTGAACCATCAGAAGGTGATCATCCAGTCTGAATCT